GTGTACTCAATACATCATGCCTCCTTGTCCATAAGGTCACTAGTCAGAAATTCTCAGGTGGCAAGTGGTGATGGGTCAAACAGTTAGCAGAGCCTTTTGCATCAAAGACCAAGGTTAGAATCCCAGCTGTATCACTAGTTCAAAGAGCTTGGGCAAATTACTTAACCACTTGAACCTGGTTTCTCATCTGTAACATGGAAAACTGTCTACCTTTCAGGATTTTTTGTGCAAATTAACTGCGATAAATATGTAAAGTACTTAGTACAGTGCCTGCCCCTCAGAAAATGACAATTATAACATAGGACACGTTTATTTGTCTAACTGAGAAGTAGGTATTTGTTTGCCCTATTGGTTTTAAAAGGCTGTAAGAGCCCATTCACCAGGTGCTTGCATTATAGGTTTAACTACAAGCGTTAAACATATAAAATTTCTTTCAGTTGGAATGTCAACCTTTTGAAACTTAAATGGGTGTGAGTTTTTAACACAAGTTCCAAATACGGAAAAAGATATTCAGTATTTGCAGTTGCTTCTAAAAGTATCTTTAGAATGACCTTTCTGCCGGATCCAGAAATAACTTAGTGGCCCAACCCCTACATTCTAGCAACAGACAGAAAACTAGGCAGACGTTTCCTGTTGTTCTCTGTCTTCTTATTGCGGCTTGCTCCCCTATCCACTCCCAGAGAGAACTGGAGATCTTTTACGCAGAAAAAGGTTCAGCTCTAAGGTAACAACTGCCTCTTACCCAGGCTCCCTTAAGGCTGGAATACAGTCAGCAGAAAAAAAGAGGTGTTTCTCAAGAGTACTCAAAAAATTCTGTTTCCAGAATTCTCATGGGCCACTGGACCACCCAGCAGCGACTCTTAAGCATCTTCCACCCACCTCCGCTACTTCCAACCTTCTAACCCAAACACACGCATCCTTACAGCCCGCAAGTGGCCAATCAGAGAGTGTGAAGTGAGCCGGATGGGGCGGGCCCAGCTTGGCGCTGTCGACGAATCACCGACCTCAGACAGCGGGGGGCGGAAGCGGAAGCCCTGGTTTGGCCTTGGGTTCCGCTGTGGGGGATGGTCCGTGGAAGCAAGTGAGAACACCCTGGGGTCTGAGAATTTTGAGTTCTCACCTCTTATTTATCAGCAGAGTCGGGCGAGAAGACGCTTGCGAGCGGGGTAGGGAGGAAGCTCGACCGCCCGAGAAAAGAGCGAGCGGGCCGGCCCGTGATAGGCAGAAACGAACTGTGTGTGTGTGCGGGGGCCTGAGAGGCAGGTCCTGTTCGGCGCCGCTCTCCAGGCCATGGTGCAGGCGGAGCTCTGGGTGATTCCCAGGTGAGGACAGCGGCTCCGCCCGGGGTTTCTACCGAGGAAGAACTGGGTAGATGCGGGGCGGGGAAGAAAGGATGCTGTCAGCACTGCTCCCCGGTAGCATCCTGAACGGCCGCAGTGGCTGCAGCAGCAGCAGCAGCACTAACAGCAGCAGCAGCAGAAAGCATAGCGCGGGCCGAGGAGGCGGTTCGAGCTGCTGGTAAAGTCGCCCAACAACTGTTTCTCCGTAGTATGTGAGTTGACGAAACAGCCAAAGAACAGGGCTCCCCATTACAGTCTCCTTCGAGCTGTTTTTCCTTGCTACTCGGAGCTGATTTATGCGGAAACATGCCTTGCACTTGTACCTGGAGGAACTGGAGACAATGGATTCGACCTTTAGCGGTGGTCATCTACCTGGTGTCCATAGCAGTTGCGGTTCCCCTTTGCGTGTGGGAATTACAGAAACTGGAGGTAAGAGGGGCCCGCACCATCGGCTGTACCCTTCCTTCTGCCTTCCTGCCCATCTAAGGTTGTCCATTTTTACCATGAATGCCTCAAGATTTGATATCCTAGAAACCATATCATGTAAATGATGCCCAGTCTTAGGATATAAACCTGTCTGGTTTCTTGTTCACGGGTTTTCAAAGGATGCTGCAGATGGAGGTAGGACTGGGTCGAGAAAATAGTTCCACTGTATTAAGATAGCTGCTTAGAAGAGCACTATTGTTTTTTTTTGCAGGTATTCATCAATTCCTTGAGAGGAATGTAATTTTACTCCTGAAATCTGATCTGTTCAGATAGTAGACTTAACTAGATCAAATAAACTACCTTGAAAACCATGTATTGACTTTTATTAGCATTTAACTAGCTTCCTGAATTCAAGGATTCTAGTTGGTTTAACTTTGTTGTTTGGTTTTTACTTTAGAAATTAACCAACAAAGGTTTTGCAAAAAGTCCCTTGTATATTTTTTGATGTCATATTCTTATTATGACATCAGTAAAGTAAGACAAGCTGGAAGACCCCAAGGTAAATACTTACCTTATGTACTTTACAAAAATTGTATAATGGACTTTAAGTCGAAAGTTAATAATAAAGTACTTTTACTTAGAAACACCAATTTTACAAGAGCTAGGACAAGACTATGGCTATCTGAGACCTTTTATTGTGGAAATGATTTTTACATAATTAAACAAAATGTATTTAATACATACATTTGTGTT